GACGCCGCAATTGAATTTTCAGCGCAAAGTATATTGGTCGACACACTGACGTGATCGCTAGAGTGGTTACTGTAGCGAGTTACGACGATTGGAAGAGACTTAAATTTCAGCAGTAGACTACGGTAAGCTCCTTGGTAAGCATTGGCAAGTATTCGATTTTGGTGGTCTCAAAGTAGATGGTTCTGTCAGTGGATTCTGAAATTTTCAGCCCTCACTGGAGCCTGAGAGTTTGGAAATCAGGCTTTCAATGCATTGTCGTTGTGGCGATTTCAGATGAAGATTTCCAGCCTCTCAGCCTCACGTGAGGGCTGAACATTTCAGAATCCTCCGACAGAACCATCTACTTTGAGGCCACCAAAATAGAAAACTTGCCAATGCTTACCAAAGAGCTTCCCGTAGTCAACTGCTGTAATTTCAGTCTCTTCCAATCGTCGTAACTCGCTACAGTAACCACTCCAGCAATCACGTCAGTGTGTCCTCCAATATATTTTGAGCTGAAAAATCATTCCGGCGTCTTTATCCGAAAAAATTCAAAAATTCATAAATGGCGGGAACTTGGCGGGAACTCAAATATTCATAAAATTCGAAGAAATTTCCGAAATTCAAAAGTTTTGGCGGTAATTCAAAAAATAAGAACTCTGGGGGAATTCAACTTTTCAAAAATCTGACGGGAACCCAAAAATGCAGGCATTTTGTCAGCGATTCAAGTATTGGAAAGTTTTGGCGGGAATTCATATTTTCAAAAGTTTGGCGGGAACTCAAATTTTCGAAAAATAACCCGTTAGGCGGTGTAACCCAAGACACATAAGTTTCGGCGGGAATTCAAAAATTCATAAAATTTTCAGAGAATTTGAAAACTCCAAGTTTTGGCGGGAATTCAAAAAATCAAAAACTTAAGCGAGTTCTAATTTTCAAAAATTTTGCGGGAATTCAATTTTTCGAAAAACAACCAGTTAGGCGGTGCAACCCGATCAGTTTTAGCTACAGGACACCCTACCAAAAGACCGCTTCTAGCTGCTCCTAGACCCTGACCCACTTACCAACTATGAAGACTAATATCCGCTCCAAGACCCAATGGTTGAATATTGTATGGTGAAGAGAAGGTTGCATCGATGCAAGTACGGATCTTATGCTTCTTAGCCACTCCAATAGTCCCCAAGACATCAGGTACTGCCATAGTTGGGTTGGCAATAGTCTCAAAATAGATCAACTTTGTATTCGGACGAATCGAATTTTCAACAGCTTTCGCAAAGTCCTCCTCCTTCTCCACATCCACAAAAGTGACCTCCACTCCGAATCGTTTCAATGTTTCATTAATAAATGAAGACGTTCCACTATAGATTGGGCTCATTGAAATCAAATGAGATCCTGATCCAAGGAACTCCAGGAAAACGGCACTGATCGCTGCGAGCCCGGAGTTGTAAAGTAGGGATCCGGCGCCTCCCTCAATTTCATTTATAACCACTTCCACATTTTCAGTGGTTGGGTTTCCACATCTACGGTAAACGAAATTGGAACCGTGGTTGGGTTCAGAGAATTGATCGATGGTCTTGAAGCGATAGGTGCTGGAGTGGTAGATGGGGACTACTACAGGGTCTGCATTGGCAAGAGGCTTAGCGTGGGAGGCTGAGATTTTGGTGTCCAGGTGGAGAGAGGAGAATCTGGAATTTGTTTTTTTTAATGTTTATATTTTCTATTGGGAATACGGCTGTGTTTGGAGTTGGGGACTAGGTGGCCGTTTCCGTCAGCGTTTGCAGGCGGCCATCTCCAAAGTTTTCTTGATTTTTTCGTATGTTTAGCACAAAAATTCGATTAGAAAAATTTTAAAAATGTAATTTTCGAAAACATTTGACTCTCCGTTAACTGTTACCGTTAGAAAATTCAAGCATGTCGAATTATTTATCGATTTCCATCGATTTGAATCGATTTTCAACGAATATTTATTTTTTTTTCTGAGGAAGAGCTAGAAAAGTCGCTGAAAATCGATGGAAATTGATGAAAATTGATAAATCTTACGGTAGCAATTAAATTTTTTACGGTAGTTTTCGTGGTGAGATATCGGGGGCCGTCGAGTTGTCGGATCTTCGGCCAGCACTTGCTTTTACACTGATTACCGTAATATTTTTTTGAATTTTTTTTTTACTTTTTTTCCCAAATTCTAAAAATTTTAACAAACCTCTCACCAAGACGCTCCTTTGCCTCATTGTTTCCAACTGGCCAATCGAAGTGTCCACTGAAACATTTTTTAAGATGTTATTTTTGAAGAAAACTGATCACTAACCTCATTCTTCCAACAGCAAATACCAATAATACAAGAAGAAAATGATTACAAATAGACTTTTATCAGTATTTATATGGAAATAGCTGATGCAAGATAGAGAGTGGTCTAATAAGATCATTAACTGAATTTTCACTCTTATCATCTCTCTTTTCGACGCATGCTGGTCATTGTTGGACATGCAAACATCATTTGTACTTTGTCATTCTGATCAAGGAAACTGCTGGGGAAATGGAAATCGATTTTTCGAAATTCAAAGAAATAAAAAAGGAATCTGCGTTCGGGGGGAATCGAACCCCCAACAATGACCAGCGGAACATCCATGCTGACCATTACACCACCAACGGCCAGCATCTTCCAGATTCAGATCCACTCCCAATCAATAAGGACATGGACGCGAACTGTCTGAGCGGCCCGCAATAGGAAGACCAAGGTCGAGTTTCATATCGCCAACGACAGAAGGGTGGGTGTTTCCACAAGGGGTGCAAAAATGACCAACCTAGATTTTGCCCGACGACATACTGCAACAATGGACCCTGAAACTATTGGACTGCCAGGTGGTAAGAAACACACCACTCTAGGAACACTTCAAACTTAAGGAGAGTCTGAATAGAGAAACAGAGAAGTGACCAGAGCGATCGAACGTCTCACCTCTACAATTTACGCATCACATCACAAGACTAATATATTCTGATGTGCTGGCCTGTAGCACGCTCGACTTCACCATAGTGCCCACCACCCGCCTCATTTCGCATGTTATTAGTACGATTAAGCACTATCGTTCGTCCTGCCTCACGCTGACCATAGCACACACAGTCAGCTGCTCAAGTAGCTTGTGACTGCTCTTC